TGGTCACAGCATTTTGCACAAGTGCATACACTCCAGTTTTAGCAAGTATTTGGAGGTTTTTGCATCTCGCCAGCCCACGGGGCAGATGAGTGAACTCTTAAGCTGAAACCAGAAAAACCAAAGCCAAGGTCAAACTCGGCGGGGTCTTCCATGTTGCAGTTGAAATCAATGGTATGGAGTGGTCCCTGCCCCGGCTCTGAGCGCTCTCAACTTCTATAGTAGTTTCCATTTTCTTTTCCATTACTTCATATATAACCCTATGTATACCCATATAGAATCGGCAGTCTGTCGCCCCAAAGTCAATTCACATAGTACATAGTGAATAAAATGAATGCATGTTTACTCGGCTTTGTGGGTGTGCGAAGAGAACGTGTGAATTGTCAATGAAAAGAGTGCGCTTCTTTCACTCCCGTCACGTCGCACATTCATTTCATTACTTTCACACTCACGCGCACCACACAATGAGTCACAAGTTGGCATTTGCATCCTCGCAAGCAATCATAATGCCAGCAGGCCCGCACCCTGTGGACTGTGATAGGATTCAGCATATAAGAATTCAGCGTAGACTTCTAGCAACCTGAAACCGACTCAAACTGTTTTGAGCTTTCTTCGGATAGTTCAAATTCAGAGATTTTCTCGGAGAAATTAAATGCAGAGCTACAGGGTTGACTTGCGTCACCACTTCAACTTTGAGCTCAACGCTGCTGTGATCAAACTATGCTGTCTTTGGCGGAGGTCGTTCGGCAAGACCTTCCTGGTCACCCGGTGAGGGTCCCAGTTCGCACCACATCCACAAAGTATCTGAGTATAATATCTCAATATGATCCCAAATATATTAAAGTAGTCTCCACTTTCTTTGCCACTACTCCCTGTAGATGAGCTCTAGTCTAAACCCTTTAAGGGGTAGTATTCTAGCAGTTAATAGTAGGAGTTGAGAATATAGCTCATATACGCCCATTAGATACCCTAGAAAACCTCTATGGTCTTTCCAGCCCTACGAAGAACCAGTAACCACATTATCCCTACAAACCCTATTCCATTTCACACTCCATTTTCTTTTCCATTAATTTTGCAATTTTTCTTGGTCATATCCCTATAGAAACCCAAAACCTTTCTGTGGCCCTTCCCGCCGATGAACGCCAGGCCTGGCGTCTTCGGCCTGCCGCCAGGAAAGGATCCCAGCCACTCCTTTCGTGAGCCCGGAATCCCAGGAAGGATGCTGCTTTCCAATGCTTTCAGTGGGAGCTGGCGATTCATAAAAAATTGCGTCCAGGGATTTCGGGGCTTAACACCCTAGGTTCAATGGCCCCGGGCCGGCAAACAGTTTCTCGAAGCCCTTGATTTAGCCTTTTCCTCAGGGGCTGGCATGCAAATTGTTATGACTGGCTAACCACTTTGACGGGGCAATTGCAAAGTTTAATGAGTGCTAACCTGTATGATTTTGCAAGCACATTTATCTTCTGCCCTGGAACATGTTGGAATGCATACTAAGTAGTGGACACATGCGGTTTTTCCGAGTGCGAGATGTTCTCGGTCCCTTCGCCTGACGCGAAGCCTGCAGCTGCTCTGAGGAAGATCTTCCTTGGATACACCAAGACGCTTGGTAGCTCTTCAGGATTGACGGTGTTAGCTGAACTGCAGAACTCTGCAGAATTATTCTTTGAAAGTTTTTTCTGGTAAAGCAGCTTGACACTTTGAGATGCAAGTGGAGCCCAGGCTATCCATGGAGCAAATCAACAATGTGCTTACCGACATGATCGACGTCGGCTGCTCTGTTAGTGCTCAATCGCAGCAAGAGTTTCCCTGCAATGTCCGAACCTCTAACCTCAACACCCTTCGACAACGACACTTGCATGGCCTACTGAAATGGTACGGCACAAGGAGTACCCTGGACGGGATTACGACACCCTCAGGCATGGAGCCCAGATAAGGATGCTCAGATGTAGGTTCACGTATCAAAGATCGGCTGGTGGGCGGATGTTGGCAACGCATACTGCATACGCCTTCAAGCCAGCACTAAGGTGCACAGGACAGCATTTCTGGAGATGGTGGGATTTTGTGGGTCTTAAGTAGATACGGGCCTGTCAACCCGGGTCGCATCCTGATCCTCAACAAGCGATTGGGACACGAAAACGGGGCTTCCGAAAGGTCGAAGTGTACATAATTTCAGGCCTCTCCCTTTAACATACTAAGTTATGCCTACTCATGCTGCATATCCACAAGGGTCTGTCCCAAAGAATTTGATAGACGCAAGGCTTGTATTTTTGGGAAGGGGCTGCTGCCACATGAGCAAGGATCAATACTCGGGTACTAGGAACGAACAGAAGGAATGCCGTGAGACGTAGGAATCGCGCCAGCAGCCTCAAAAGCAATAGGACCCCCCAGAAGCGATACCCGATACCCCTTAACCTAAGACGTAACCACAACTGTGTGGGGGCTGAACCCCCCAAAAGCGATGCCTTTCCAGTATCCTACGCAAAAACAGCCGAAAGCGATAGGACGCCCCCAACTCGTCAATGGCATCGGATTATTCAAGGAGTTTCAGCGCACGCTCACATAGAGTCTTTTCATACGCAAGTCTCAGCATGCATGTTGGCCCGATCTGCCTTCCGTGGCTGTTTGGCACGAACAGTGACACAGACGACTTGAAGCATGGCTTCGAGGCTCGTTCCAAGTCATGCTTGATTCAGCGCAGTGGGGATCTCCGCTTATGGTGCCCTTGAGATTGAGCTGCTCCAGGGATATGCGCAAGATGGACTACGAAGAACTACAACAGGGCCTGGGCGGCGATGAAGAGGAGCGGAGGTTGAACGACAGCTTGAAAAAGGCGTTGCAAGCTTCCGTCGATCCTTTTATGAGATTCCTTTTCCCAGCCATGCGCTCCACATACCCCAATTCCTAGGTTCTCCTAGGTGTCAGTGTAGTAGCGCTGCTCAAAGGACCGGCCCAAAGTTCGACCGCGGCGTGAACCCTGCACAAGATTCGTCCAAGCCCCTGGCCTGCGTCAAACCCTCGTCCCTTCGTCAAAGCTTCACCGCTCACCCCCTTCGTCTTGGCTTGAGTGGGGTTGCCGTTCGTCAACTCCTTGGGTTCAAGATAAGATGGCCGAGCTGAAGAACATCACGGTCCGGAGGTCCAGCCTCGTAAGCCTTCTCCTTCCCTTCGTCCATGTCAACTCCCTTCGCCAAGTGTTGTTCACGTTCTTTGGGGTTCGTCCAAAGTGTTTTGGTGGTCAACCCATCGAGGGGTCCCTTCTGTTTGCCCCCTACAGATTTTTGTATGGTAGAAACGTGCCGTAACACACAAGTTGCACAATTTTGATTATGGCAATGACTGTAAAACAGAAGGACGGAAACCACCCAATTTGATAATCAAAAATCATTCAACCTTTCACGCACAACAAAGCTGCCTGCAGATCCGGGAAAAGGGGGGAACAGGAGTGAATGAGGGAATTCCAAATTGGGGTACCCGTTTCGGGTGGTCATGTCTCAGTCATGTCTCGGACAAAACACCTGCATACAACATGCGGATTCTGCATGAGCTACAATAATCTATACTCCTTCAAGGGGGTTATATAGGGGATTGTATAGGAAAGAGTTATAGGAGTTTTTAACGGGGGTATTAAAAGTTTTGACTATAACTTACATATGTTCTGCCGGGGTGTTTGCAGGAGGCAGTGGGCGACGAGTCGCCCGTACGACACCAGGACCGTCGAGGTGGGTGCATGGTTCCATGCGGGGCTTCCAACAATTGGAAATACCAATCTGGGGGTCCCCATTACAAGGATTATGGTATCTGGGGGTCTATAAGAGGGTCCCCCTTCTAATTACATGGAAACGACCATCTACGGACCCAGAAGGTTTCGTGCTTCAGCCCTTGGGATTCGATTTCAGGGTTGTAGGATCCAGGATTATCCGTTGGTTGGAGCTCAGTCTCCCAAACCTGGTGGTCCCCGTAAAAGAACTTCCATATGTCCCTCTATGTTTCTGTGCACTTCTTGAATGCGTGCATGGCTTTTCAGACACGTGCATTTGGGGGATGTCCTTGGTCAGGGCACAGCTTGTTTCATTTCGAAGTTTACCGCATTGTTACTCACAAGTGCGATTCCTGTTCTTCTGCTTGGGCTGGATACTGTTGCTGTTTCAGCTGCCTATTCATCATTCCCGTCGTTGCCATGTATCAGATCCGAACATGCCGCTTGCTCGGCCAGCCTGTTAGGTTGACTAGCCTGGGGGCTCATGCAGAAGAAACGTTTAGTCCAAACCCTGCAGCCCTGAGCCACCCCATGCAGCCTGTGCGCTCAAGTTCATTCTACTTCTTGAGCCATACTCCCGAGCCCGGAGCCAGAAGAACCTTGCACTTGTGAAAACGCTGTTTGTGCGGTACGCCCTGCTCCTGATGGGATGGCGATGGGCCGCGCTCCTTCTCTTCGGCGAAGCTGTGCAGGCCCAGTACGCCCTTTGGTCAGCACATAAAGGCGTGCAGCGGTTTGCCGTCGCCTAGCACCAGCTCTTCAGCGCACGCCCCGCGGAAAGATTGAAGATTAGCCGTTGCAAGGGCCACATGTTTGCAGAGACCCAAAGCCCAGGATTGGCCGGTGGACAGCTGCGCCTGCCACATTTTTTACGAGCATTGGGTGCAGATGCAGCTGGTCATCTCGCGCGCGCCGCTCTCTTGAAAATCTCATGGCAGTGATTCCATTGTCCAGGTGAACAGAAAGTTGTTTCAGATCCAAACCAGGTTGCCCTGGAGCAGGCAAAGAGTAGCAACCTGCTAGGGCATCATCTGCTGCAGTGGTAAGGTTCACCAGAGACTTTGCCGACAAGGAGTCCGATGGGGTTTCCAAGTCGGGCACAGTCCCCCACTGCAGAAAAAAAGTAAGACTAGCCTGGCCAAAAGAGGTCATGTAACACCACCGCAAATTGAAACCACCTCTTCTGTTGCACGTTCGGGTCCATTCCAAAGTTCTGAGTGTCGGAAATTGCTGAGTTCTACAGGCCATGGACGAGAAGTCAGGCATTCGCGAGGTTGGGACCTCCATTCATCCTTCCGGAAGCCTTGGCTGCCTCTGTTGCGTGGCAGGTAGTTCTTGGAGTTGCAATCCTGTTTGAGATCGATTCATTCAGTGAGCGAAGTGCAAGCGAAGTGCATAGGCAATCGCCTTCGACTCTTGCCGAGACCTGCGCAAGGAGCCAGATAAACAAGAGATGTCGGGAGCAGAAGCTTCAGGATTTATGTCTGACAGAGCTTGTTGTTGACTAACAACGAAGCCTCAGATTTCTGCCTAGAGGGGCCCAAGCAGGCACTCAATTCTTGTCTGTGCTGCAGCACCATGAAGCGTCTGCCAGGAGGAGAATAGCCTGGGCTGGAGCGTTACCACCGCGGCAGCCACGGATTGTGCGCCAGGTCAGATGAGTTCCAGAGCTTAACAGAGCTCCGATTTACACTTGGTTTAGCTTGCCTGAGCTTATTTTGCACCTCTACATTCACTACACCACTCTTAATCACCGTCTCCTGTGTTTGCAAGTCCCTCCGCAGTAAAACAGCACAAGCCGCACGCCCTTCTGTCTCACGCATGTAGCTTCGCCAACAGCAAACTGGGCTACAGTCTTTTTTTGTTGTTGGCCTTGAGCTCTAGATACCAACCCCCTAGCCCCATGATTGGAAATTCACCCTGGCCCAACCACGGTTAGGATTTGTCGTTTTTCTGTACGTACATCGGACTCTGACCTCCCGAATGCACCATCATGTTCCTGGATTGCTGTTAAGGAACT